TTTAATAAATTGATCTGAAGCTCAAGAAATGATCCTCATTCTGCTTTTGATGCTTTTCTGGACACCATGACTTTCACAATTCCCTGACCAAAAAAAAAAAAGCAAATGATATTTTCAAACAAAAAAATGACTGTAATATTCCTTATAATACTATTAAAATATCCCTTAATATCAATTTAATGCATTCTTGCTGTATAAATCTGATTATGTCACTAATCTCAGTTGTAGGTCATCATACTCCATTTAGTTTGCATCAGAATTCAGCATTTCAAGTAAGACGATGCCACAGAAAAAGCCAATTTTACTCATTAGAAAGTTTGTTTGGGGAGTGAAGATTTGACTCACTGCATGGCGTGCTCTGGTGAGAAACAAGGTGCGAAAAGGACAGGATTGGCCGCAGATGAGTGCTTCCTATGCCACTATCATCACGCTTGTCCTCTGCCTTCTCTTGGTCTGCCCAAACCACAGCCCTCTCCCTGTGCACCAGACGCTCCAGCTCCTCCCACTCGCTGCCGTCGCCATCAGCGCTCATGGCCTTCAACGCCAGGTGCTGTCGGCGGCAGGTGGACAGCAGGGCGTTCACCAACCTGACAGGACAGGTGGGACAGCAAGCACAGCGGGATTGTTGAATGACACAGATGAACACATTTACATTGCAAATTTTTCAATGAATCTGAACCACACTAAGAACTTTCTACATAGAGCGTCAGGCTATTCCCGCAAACGCATATAAATCGAGGGTGACTAAGCTGGAAATCAAGGAAGCCAGTGTAAAAGCGGTACGGGTGTTGACTCATACTTGTGTGTGTGAGTGTTTTCCTGGTCTTGAACGCTGATGAGGTGGCTCATGTGCTCCATGTGTTGCTGAAGGTCGCTGATCTGCAGCTGTAGCTGATGGCACTGCAGTTCTTTTTTCAGCTCCTGTACAAAGAAACAACACAAAGATGAACAAACAAACAAATAATGCAACAATCACTGCAGCAACATCAGATTGTTGACCTTTGAGATTCTCTCTCTATATAAATGTGTTTATTTTTGACCAAACAGCAATAACAGGGCAACGCTTTACCCTATGCATTCCTTCTTACTATAGTAAGTACATGAAATAAGTAACATATGCAAAATTATTAATTGCATAATTATTTAGTTAATTTTACTCAGTATTTACATGTAAAGTTACCAGGGTTTCTACAGTTTTCATCAAGTTAAATTAAAATTTTTTAAGACCAATATGAATATATTTTTAGACTCACACAAGGCTGATTACGGCCCAGTTAAAACATAAAAAAAAACTGTAAAAATAAATATAAGGAAGACCATTAAACCTCATGCTTATAAATAGAAATAGAGTTGGTAAATAATTAAGAATTAATACACTTTTAAAAAACCTTTATTAAGACGAAATGTTTGTGATTGGTTATCTTTACATAGACATAGGAGAATTAAAACCTGTTTAAAATTATGTTAGACCTACAACACACTATTTCAGTGAATTTAAGACTTTTTAAGACCTATTCCAATTTTGATTTGGAAACTTTAGACATTTTAAGACCCCGCGGATACCCTGGTTACACTGTAACTAAAGGACTGCAAATTAATGTGTAACCAGTAACGATAAAAAATTAATGTGGCAATAATGTCTACTTCACATAAATAAAAGAATTAAATTTCATTAATTGCATCGTACCAAAATAAGAGTACACAATGTAATAAATATCTGAATACATTCTGATCAAAACATTTTAATGTTGTTTTTAATTTTAACTTTTCTTTTGAGAAATAATTAGAGAAATAAATTGTTAAAACAAACTCATTTGAATATTTGTGACCTATTTTCATCGAATGTGCTGATCTTTGCAAATATGGTTTTACAATTAATTAACATTTTATTATCGGAATTTTAAATTTGATTAGCATTCAGAATTATGTGAACAAAGCATTTTGACTTTAATAAAGTATCATTTTCTTGCTACCGTTTAAACCACTTTAAACCTAGTAAGGTTTTAAATGCAAGGCTTTAAGGCAGAGGTGTCCAAACTCCAATTAGACACACCTAATCTAGCTAATCAAGCTCTTTCTAGGTATACTAGAAACGTCCAGGCAGGTGTGTTGAAGGAAGTTGGAACTAAACTATGCAGGACACCGGCTCTCCAGGAGTTTAGACACCCCTGCTTTAAGTCCATTAAAAAATCATATAATAAATAATTATGCTGGCAACACAATATGTGAACATGTTTTTATACCACAAATTGAAAAATCTAAATTAAAAAATTTGTACAAATCTCCTTTACATTTTTATTTATTTTACAAAGAAAATACTTCTAATCATGTAAAATCTAAAATTAAGACTTTGAAAACAGAACTTCAAGTCTTATTAGTTAAATTGATTAAATAAATTGATTTAAAAAATCCAAACAAACATCATTTAAGAAACTCAGAAATCACAGAACATTCATTCTTAAGGCACGTTAACATATAAAGATGTGATTTTAATATGGCGATATCAAAGTTCCATGAACAGTTCCTCTTTGTCATCCAGCTATTTCAGAACTCTAACAAGAGGTGATTCAGGGAGGCACGTTTCCCATATCCTTTGACAAGTGTGTGCTCTCAATTGGAATCAGGCGTGGTTCAGTTGGCCAGTCCGGGACCGATTGGAAGAAGTGTGCCAGAGCGCAGTTCACTTGGGTGCAAATCGCACCTGAGCCCGAAAATGAAGATGAGACGTGACTTTTAAGTAACTGTTTCAAATGGATTTATTTATCATTTTTACTGTTCAATGAACACAAAATGTCATAGACTATTAAAGACGCAAACCCCTCACTGCACGACAGCTGCACCTTTAGCAAACCTCCTAATTGCTGTAGCATGAGGACTTTATGATTGTTTATGAGCATTAAAAGTGGCCGATCTGTTCAGCGAAATATTTGACCGCGTCACTTCATCTCAAACAACTAAACGATATAAAAAAATCTCCACTGTGCTGAGCGAGAGCGCTTTTTAAACTGAACAGCGCATCATCGATGACGTAAGCGTGCTCAGGCCCGAATGCAATGTGAGTGCGGGCCGTTGAGGGAGACGGGAGGGGGGGACAACCGTGCTTCTTCCCGTTTCAAGGCAACTGTACATAGTGTGAGTACGCCCTCAGTCATAACAAGGGCCAAACAGAATCTGCGGACATTTTTTGCTATTTCTGCTAAGAATTTGGGAATTATTTTGGGAGTATTATAACTAAAAATTTAATATATGAAATAAAAAAACTTTAACTTTTATGTTCACAATGTAAATTCATCTAGATCCACTTAAACAAAGTAAGTCTATCATAGAATATATCTACTAAAAGACTAAAATATTACTTTACAAACTGTATTGTAAAAAAATCAATTGAACACTTTCATATAAGTCAATAATATCACTGATATTAACCTTTAAAATCTGAATAAATATATATTTACACAAGTAAATAGACTCAATGATTGGCTTAAAATCTGTGGAAATCTGCGGATTTCTGTGTAGGCCTAGTCATAACCAATGCTAAAACAGCTGCCATTAAAAATATTTTCAATATATGGAGCTTTCTGGATTCTTAGAAGCTATGGAAATTAAAAATCTAAAACAGGAAATACATTAGGAGCACTGTTATGGTTTACATCCCTCAAAATGGTTTTTATGTTCTTATTATAAGCATCAATTTACTTTGAATCTTACTCAACTAAAACCAACTTAATTCTGCATGTCAATTAAATGCATCTTGATTTAAGGATAAAATATATATTTGATGAAGGAGAAATATAATTATTATTTGCACAAAGACTAAAATGAAGACTTCTGCTCTGATTTAAGACCTACTTAAAGCCATACAACAGCTTATTATCTGTAACTTGGCCTGCTTTTTTGCCTAAAATGAAAATAAATTTAGTGAGCTGGCCAAAAATCTTGCATTAAAATTCTTACAGAGCTGCTTTATTTTTACGCTGTCGATGCAAATCAAATTCCGAGCATGAATCGAGAAACACGCACATCTATGAGACGACAAATTTGAATACAACGTCTCGTGGCATTCTGGGTGAAGAGAACGACGAGATTAAACCATCTCATCTTTGCGCTATAATGAGTAAGGCAACAAAGGCAACACTACAAAAATGATGAAACGGCTTAGATGTTGTTTTTAGTCAAGCGCCTTGTTTTCTTTCTGTCTCACTGAAAATGCACCTTCTGAGGAGTCTTCTACCCCCTCTGACGCAAGAAAACGCAAAACAGCAGAGCACAGAACATTTGATGGGCGGATGCGTCACTACTCCGTTCTACTTCCAGGAAAAGCAAAAAAAAAAAAAAAAAAACACAGGAAAGCAAAAAAAAAAAAAAAAAAAAGCGAGAAAAAGAGGTGTGGATTTAGGTAAGCAGCTGTAGGGAGTGATGAAGGAAAAGCATTGATTTTTCTTTTATTAAGACATCCTCCAGTGGGGAAACAGAGAGAGGAGCTAAAAGAGACACAGACATGGTCGCAGTGTCTGCAAAGAGGCCACAAATGAGGGCAAAAACAAACATTATACAATATATCCTAAGATCAAATGGTGATTTTGTGCCCGTTTTTAAACACTACAGGTTAAAAGATCAAAGTATGCTCTGCTCACAAAGGCTCCATTAATTTGATCAAAAATAAACAATAGTATTATGAAAAATTATTTTCTATTTTATTATGTCATTTATACCTGAAATTCTTTAAAACCCTTCAAAAATAACTGTAATATGAAGATTTGTTGCTTATAAATTGTTCAAAACAGTTCTGCTGATTCATATTTACGTGAAAATTATTAAAACATATCCATTTAAACACTCTTATTTGGCAAGGAATCAAATTAAAGCGAAAGTAAAAAAATGTATTATGTGATAAATGACTAAATATTTTCGTAACACTTTAATTTGATGGTTCATTTGAGCATTAGTAGGCTGTCTGCTTGATACCTGTTGATACTGCTCCTTTAACAGACATTTAACTGACTATAAGAAGCTTTGCAAGTACATGTCAACTTACACTAACCCCAACCTAAGTCTACTTATAATCTAATGAGAATTGGTTGGCATGTAGATGCAATGTAACCTAAATTCAACAAACAGACCAGCAAAATAAAGTGACCAAAATTTCTTTCAAATAGGTGCCGTCATTTTGTAGTTTCTGTTTATCAAAGAATCCTTAAAAGTAGACTGTATGATGGTTTTCACAAAAATGTAAAGCAAAATAATATATTTTCACTATTTATGATAAATGATTGAGCACCAACAATAGCTGATCATAGTACAGATGCTAATCAGCTGCTAGACTGATGTCTGAAGGATCATGCGACTCAATGAAGACTAGTAATCAGGGATGCACCGAAATGGTTTTTGGGCCAATATCGATAACTCTTAAAATTTAGAGGCCGATAACAGATTTATTAGCCGATGAATAAAAAGACTTCAAAATGTTATATTTATTTACAGCGAACAACTGATTTTATTCAAAAATACTTCATTAAAGTTTGATCCGATCTTATGAACTGAATAGCCTACTCCGTTTCAAAAGGTGACTATATAGACCTCACCATTTCAGATAAATCAGCATCCCAAAAATATTTTTTTCGCAAAGCTAATTAACATGCAACTTGACTGTTGCATGAAAATAATAGTTTAAAAAACAAAATGGGATTTAATTGAACAAGTAACGCAAGCAATGCGTTGATAATAAAAAATAATCATACTAAATTACAAACAAGCCAACGAGTTGTTTAGCACGTGTGAATCGGTGCTATTATTTTTACACATTTAATATTTTATTATTTAAACCAAAATAAACAATGAAACTCTATTAAACATATCTACAATGATAAGCAATATGGTTACTTGAATTGTTAGCACACAGCAATAATAGTACAAAAAAAAAAAAAAAAAAAGGACAGACTTTGAATGAATAAACAATGTCAGGAAAGTTCTGTTATAGTGCATAGTTTAAGTCTGAACAAGTTCGACCTACGCATGCACGAGGATGGCAGTTCTGTACAGTTAAGTAATCTATTGGCTTAAATATATGACAATTCGGCCGATTAAAATAACATTAAAAATAGTATTTATCGGCCGATATTGATATGGCTGCCGATATCTTGTGCATCTCTACTAGTAAGGATGCTGAAAGCTTTGCTTTGTAGCCCATGAATACATTACATAAAAAATAATAAATAAATTAAATATTTCAGTGTCTTGTATGTTGGTCAAATTAACGCAGCTCTGGGTAGCAGAAAAGACTTCTTTCAAAAACACAAAATTCTCAATAATCACAAAATATTGACTGGAAGCGTAGTCAATTGATAAATGTTGACTACCTAAAAGCGAATTAATTATAATAATTTATTAAATATCTATTAAACTGATAATATATATATATATATATATATATATATATTTATTAAACTAGTAATCTTCTAAACCAATTACAATATTGATTTTTAATACAAAAAATTGTAATATGAAGGTTTGTTGTTTACCAAATGATGCAAACAGTATAATAGATTAATATTTACAAGGAAATTATAATCCATGACCTTTCAAAAATGTCCATTTAAACACTCTCATTTAGCAAGAAATCAAATCAAAGTGAAAGCATAATGCCACAAATGACAACTTTTTATTACAAATAAATGCTCTTATTTTGTAGTTTCTGTTTATCAAAGAATCCTGAAAAATAGACTGTATAGCGGTTTCTACAAAAATATGAAGCATAAAAAATATATTTTCACTGTTGATGACAAATGACTGAGCACCAACAATAACTGATCATAATACAGCTATTAATCAGCAATTCAGACTGATGTCTGGAGGATCATGTGACACAATGAAGACTAGTAATGATGCAGAAAGTTTTGCTTTGAAGCCCATGAACAAATTACATAAAATAAATAAATAAAATAAATATTTCACAGTGTCTTTGTTTTTTTGTTTTTGTACTTCTTTCAGAAACAAACATTTAAATGATAACAAAATACTGACTGGAAGCGTAGTCTGTTGATGAATGTTGACTTTCTAAAAGCGGACCAATTATAATAATCCATTAAATATCTATTAAACTGATAAAATTATATTTATAAAATTAACAATCTAAAATAATTACATTCATTTTTACTAAAATAAATAATTGTATATATAAAGTTTTGTTGTACACAAATGTTGCAAAAAGTTGTAAATATTTAATAGGTTATGTAAATATTCATGGTATTAGGATGCATTACCTTTCAAAAAATATTCATTTAAACACTTTTATTTGTCAAGGAATCAAATCAAAGTGAAAGTGATGACATTTACGTAATATGCCAACTTACTAAATATATATTTTTTAAAAGTGCCATAATTTAATAGTTTCTGTTTATCAAAGAATCCTGAAAAATAGACTGTATCGCGGTTTCCACAAAAATACGAAGGAGCAAATATATTTAACCATTGAGAATAAATAATTGAACACTAACAATAACTGATCATAGTTCAGCTGCTTATCAGCAATTTGGACTGATGACTGAAGGATCATGTGACAATGAAAACTAGTAATGATTCTGAAAGTTTTGCTTTGAAGCCCATGAATAAATACATTTTTTCCCCTCAATATTTCAGTGTCTTATGTTTTTGTTCAAATAAATGCAGCCCTGGCAAGTAGAAAAATCTCAATTATCACAAAATATTATCTGTTGATGATTGTTTACCTCCTAAAAGCGGACTGATTATAATAATTTTTTAAATATCTATTAAATAAAAAATAATATTTATTAAAAAATAATTTTCTAAAATAATGATAATCTTCAATTTTGGATTGCTGTTGGGTGTTTGATGTGCTCAAACAAGTGTTTCGGACGAGCATGTCTGCCTCAGACGTTACAATGCCCTAGAGCCTCCCTGCTCGCATAGAAAACATGAAAACATTCAATAATGGCATTTCCAAATGGATAACAGGCCAAGGCTGTCCACTCAGGTGCTGAAATGAGTGCTCAAATAAAGAAATATCACAGTGAACTGAAGGACAAAAAAACAAAATATCTGTTGCAGGGGTAGGCGGTATGACAAATGCTTATATCACCATATACTCTACAGCTATTCTTACTTCAAATCTTTTAGATATTACATAAACGTAAAGTATTTTTTAAGAGTCTAGTGACTTCAATTTAAATAGGACAATAGGCAGGAAAATTAAAGACCTATGTAAATCCAAGTAAAGAGCATTTAATGAATTATTTGAAGGGAAAATCAATGATCTCTAAACGTAAATATAGGAAACAATGCGTTATATTAGCATCAATCCAACATTTGAAAAAGGAATAAATTATTAGTAAGATAATAATATTTAATGTACACCTATGTTTATATTCAAACAATAGAATATAGAAAAAAAGGGTTACTTTATCAGCATTTTTGCCATGTTTTCCAGTATTAATATCTAAAACTTCTAAAATCAAAATGCATTTAATTGGGATGCAAAATGACATGCAATAAAGAACATTTTCAGATAAATTGATCAAATTAAATTGGGTTTCTGTTTAAAACAATGACAATGGACCAAGGAAAAAGTAACCACAAGTACAGAAATTATTTAATAACGTTATTTCTTCATTTTGATTTCCAGTAAATGTATTTTGAATCAAAGATTATAAATTCATAATAGAAATAAAAAAATAAGAAAGATTCAATTTTATTGCAGAGCTTGACGCAATAAATTCCATGATTTTATGTATTTAATGCTTTTTTTCTTGATTTAAAATAATTGTAATTTGTTACATTGTAAAAAGGAAAATTAAGGCCTTATCTAAATTTGAAAATCAATTTTAAGAACCAGAAGGTTATTAATAAATATCTCAGCAAAATCAGCTTCATATTACAGAACATAAACATTACATCTACCATTACAGCCAATAAAGCATGTTGGAAGCACATTTCTGAAGCTTTGGCTGCTGATTTTCTTGATTGCCCGATTGATCGAGTGGTCTAAACTGGTATATCTGTTTCAACAAGTGTATATTAACTGCTCACACAGCCTTAATTTGAGGCAAAAGTGACCTAGCACTGACCTCTGGAGTGTGTCCGTCATGTCCAAGCAGCTTCATTTCATTCTCAATGCGGTGAAGCCATCCCTCGTTCTCCTGGAAGCACTTTTCACTCTCCATTAAGCGTTGTTGCAAGTGCTCCTGGTGAGACTTTAGGGAGGCCAGTTTGCGCTCATACTTACAGGTGGCCTAAAACAAGCAACACAAAAATAAATAAATAAAACAGGGTTTGCACACATACTGAACCGTGAGTTTGTGACTTTTCCAGTTATGCAAGATTAGTGAAGAAAGATATTATTATGTATTACATTTTACATGTTTAATTTTATAGACGGTATTGTCTAGCTAAATTGAAAGATTACTTATTAAAAAAAACTAACAACTAAACTAAAAACTAACAAACAAACATTTCCATGACTAAAACAAAAAAAAGACTACTTTTATCTTTCTTATATATACACACACCTACACAATTTTACATATATTCAAATGTTATATAAAATTTTTTGTATAGTTTGTAATACATACTAAAGTATTAATATAATTTTTAAGTATCTGTTCAAATGCTTTCATCTAATGTGTCCAGTTACATTATTTTCTTTAACATTAACCAAGATGAATAAATACTGTAACAACAGCACTAGTTAAAGTATTAAAGGGATAGTTCACCCACAACTGAATATTGCGTCATTAATTACTACATGATCCAAATCTTTCTTTATTCTTCTGAACTCAAGAGAAGATATTTTACTACTTCAGTAGTTTTTGTTATTCTTACTATGGAAGTCATAATTACAGTTTTGCAGCTTTCTTCAAAAATATATATTCTTTACAGTACATTCACACAGGGCATCAGTGCCTGACAAAGGGCGTGTCTGAAGCTTTGTGCTGACGCGATCGTCATAGAGCTGGGGTATTTGCATACTGCATTTCATTGCATGTGTATTGACAATAAAGTTGAATCTAATCTAATCTAATCTAATCTAATCTAATCTAATCTAAAGGCATCTGATGGCCTTGAAAATTTGAGAATTTCTTAACTTCTGCAGTGAGCAGACCTTCAATTCAGCAACGCTTGATGTCACCATTCAAAGTGAATGGGAATTGTTGACTATAATGTGAATTGGATGTTAATGTTCAACTGAATCTTTTAATTATTTATTTATTTTGATAAAAGTTTGTAAATTGTGAGTAAATTTTCATTTTAAGGTTAAATTTGTCCTTTAACTTGTATTATCTGATATTGCAAATTGTGACCATTTCCACTTAATCCACATATAACTTTGAACAAAAGCGTTTTAGATATTCTCCTCCAATATCTTTAATCAACTGTGTATGAGTGTTTTTACCCTTTCAGCCTTGTTGTCAGGGAAGAAGATAAGACTCTGCTGGTGCCATGACTCCCTGTGCCTCATAGTCAACCTGCTTTCATTCAGCTGCTTCTCAATGTCCAAATGCTCTTTACGGAGCTTCAGACGATCTGAAAACACACTGCGCAGGGACTCCGACATCCTGCACAGACACAAAAGCAGACTCGCTATCTTGATTGCCTACCACTTGATTACAACGCACACCACTCTCACTTTCCCTCTGAAATAGTTCCCTTGTAATTAATGTACATGCAAAAATGCATTTCTCCCATCATCAGTGTGGATTAAATTATAACATGAACATCTTGAACTGTAGAAGGGGAGTTCTTAGGGGGCCAGGGTCAAACACTAAATAAAATCAGTCATCTAATGCTGGTTATTAAAGAATATAATGTTGATTCAAATAGTTACAAACAAGTACACAGTAATTCATTTGCAATGGAAGATCAGTCTCTGAAAAATTAAGCAAGACACAACCAAAACTTAATCCAGTTCCAAAAGTTGGGTTAGTTCACCAAATTACTCACGCTTGTGTTTTCTCAAACCCCTGAGAGACCAAAATTAGATACTTTGAATGAAATTCAAGAGCTCTCTGACCCTCCTTAGACAGCAAGAGTTGCGAGTCATTAAAAGTCCAAAAAAGTACCAATAATATCCTCAAAAGTCCACAAGTCATCAATGGCTCAGTCGTAATGTTGTGAAGCTACAGGAATTATTTTGTGTGCAAAAAAACCCCCATTAGAAATAATGACTTTGCTCAACATTTTCTTCTCTTCAGTGTCAGTTCAGGGCGTGAGTTCATGTGCACTGGTGTATACTTCGAATGCCTGTGTGCAATTTCCTCTGTTTGAAACAAAATGTGGGCACAGACAAATGATATGTTCATGACACGCATATAGAGCACAGCACTTGTGTGAAAGTGTGCCCTGAACTGACAATAAAGAGTGGGCAAAAATGCATTTCAGTGGCTTCATAAAAAGTGGTATTTGTACCTGTTTTGGATTTAAAAAAGCCCAGGGAGGCTCAGAGAGCTCTCATATTATTCAAAATATCTGTTTTCTGAAGATGAATGTAGGGTTCTTTCCAGATGCACTTTCAAACTTTTGTGTGGCAAATTGCATATTTACATACTCACATTATATTAGGTGCTATTTGTTATAGTACAAGTCCAACAATGATTTACTGTCATTTACCCTCTTAAATGTCATGTACTCACGTGTCAGCTTTTTAAAATTGATTTTAATTTTATGCATTGTTCACTTATGATAATGAAAATGTTAATCTCCATGCGTTCTGTCTTCAATCACTGATTAAAGAGCGGAGATGAAAAAAAGGTTATAATAAAATACAGGAAGATCATGCTACAGACAGACTTTAGAAACTTCATTTTACACAAAAGTAAAAATATTAAATTTATTTAAAGAGCTAATTACTTTCTATTAAAAGGTTGCATGAAATTAAATTACATTTTTTAGATGTCAGTTTCAGTCTGTTAGTTTTAAAGATGTTAATTAGCTAGTGAAACAGTGACAACATTCACATTTACAAGATAGAAACCTAATATAAACATCCTAAGCTTGCAATTTGTCACTTCTGTCTAAATGGATCAAGTGTTTTTTTTTTTTTTGACGCCACCGCATACTTCAGTTTCTCATCAAATCTTCTGACCAATCAAATGTTTTCTTGTATCTGACATGCCCACCCCCTTCTCTCATTGGCTTTTCATTTAACGTGCTTGAGCTCAACCAATCTTATTAGCAGAATTGTGAGAAAAAAAAAACGCTATTGGCTTTTTAAAGGGGCGGAGCTATTATATACCCCGCCCTCTCCATGTTTTGGTTAAGATCATGTCAAACATCCAATAAAAATGCATATTTTAAAAGCACTTCACTGGACCTTTTAGTAAAATAAATAATTATTGACAGCAACAATTACATTTTCAAGCAGTTTATCTAAATTCTAAACATGTACAAACCTTCAAACACTACATTAAAAGTATTCCCAGCACCTGTACAAACCCTGTTAATGAAGGTCTCAGGGGTTTGGAATGCCATGAGGGCAAGCATTAAATAGCATCACTTTTTTTTTGGGTGAACTCTATCTCATTATTAAAAAAAAAAAAAACTGGACACTGGACCCTATGATTTTCATGGATATATTAAACATTTACAAATGTTAAATAAAATAATTCTTAATTTAATTTGTTAATAGGTCTCATGAAAATAGTTAAATTAAAAGTTTCATGATTATGTTGTTCCATAACTGGACATTCCGTTTGATTCTTAAAATCTAACCAATATTAAAAGAGTCCTGAACAAAAGTGGTTCAGAGGACCCAAGCAATGCACCCTATAATTATATTCATTCATTTAAATATTTTCCTTTGGCTTAGACCCTTATTTATTAATGGTCACCACAGTGGAATGAACCGCCAACTATTCCAGCACGTTTTACACAACGGATGCCCTTCCAGCTGCAACCCAGTACTGGGAAACACCCATATACTTGCATTCACACACTACGGCAAATTTAGTTCATCCAATTCACCTATTGTGCATGTCTTTGGACTGTGGGGGAAACCAGAGCACCATGAGGAAACCCACGTGAACAAGGGGAGAGCTTGCAAACTCCACACAGAAATGCTAACTGTCCCAACCGGGACTCAAACCAGCAACCTTGCTGTGACAGTGCTAACCACTAAGCCATCATGCCTTCTCATAATTAAAAATTATTATAATTTCTGAAAAGTTTATGACATTGAACAACAGTAAGTCACAGGGAAAAAAAACATCCAAAGGTTGCCTATGAAAGCCTCAGTTTCTCTTCTATTGAATATAGGAAAGTGCTAAAGGCCATCGTGCTCTCATTCAAACACATTCTCCGCTGAGAGCCTTCAATACTCCAACACTGCCTTTTGCAACATGGCACCTCAATGAATGCTTTGAGATATCACCTGAACTGTGTGGGGGAGGCATAAGTTTTGATTTAGAAAAAAAAAAAGTCCATTGAGAGAGAGTGCAGAGGCTGTATTTGGGGCCATAATGTTGGTGCAGCGCTGACACTGCCAGACTCCTGCATTATTAATGTGGGCTGGAGCTCGCCGAGCACCTTCTTTCCCTCCCTCCCTTTCTCACTCACTCGGCAAGTTGTGAATTCTGATGCCGGTGAATGAAACGCGTAAGAGTGAGACTCATTCAGCTTTTTTCCCCTCCTCCTTCCCCTCTCTATACCTCCCACCCTTGCTGTTTTCCCTGTTTCTCTCCTCCTCCCTCCGTCTGTCCTTCCTTTTCTCCCTCCCATCTACGGATGCTGCGGTGGTTTTTGCTGACGATAACCACAAAAAAAAAAAAAAGAAAAGGAGAACTGAATCAAGAGGGGTGGGGATGCGGGACGTGTCGCAAAACTGTGATACATTCCCTTGTCTAAACAAGCAACAAAGCAGAAAAACAAAAGAGGGATGGAGGGGGGGGGGATAAACAAACAAACGTGAAAAATTAAAGAAACAGAGGAAAAACAACAAAGCACAAGTCTCCAATCTCCACTGGGCCTGATGAAAAATGCAGAGGTAAGGAGACCTCCACCTGCGATGGTGTCTGGCTTTGTCCTGTGTACTCTTACTCATGAATAATTGAGGCGTATTCAAAGTTTCAAAGGACAGCGTTAAAGAGCTGCACATCACACATGGCATAAAATAAACAACATCTAAACAAACAAAAACACAGGTCTCAAGGAGCGTGCCCATGTCTGCAAATAGAGTTTGCAGCGTCGCATGGGTGCACGCTTATGGAGCGAACATAAGCGTCCTTGTACACACGTGCACAAACGCAGTGCTTACTTCTCAAATTCAGCTCTTTTCTGGATGGAGATTGGATTCAGGGCAGGAGCCTCTGCCTTCCGCTCTTCATACTCTTTGAGTTTCTGTTTCAGCATGACAATCTGAAAGCACACACAAACACAAACATATATACATACATGCTCTCATTAAACAAGTTAGTTTTATGTGGATGAGAGCCATCTTAACTAACTGAAGAAGCAAACCAGATTTACAAAAGAAAATTGTTCTACATTAAGACCAGATTACAAAATGCAGGGAAGATAAAATTGGTTACTTCCAAATACTTTTGATTTCAGTAATTAAAAAGCTTATGAAATTAATTGAAATAATAAAACTTGCACAACTGTTGAAATGTATTACTATTATTTATACAAGTTAATGACATTTTTTCTTATTTTATTGCTCAATTTAATTTTATTGCTGCTAAAATTGAGAGAGATAGAGATTTGAGTTTGTCAGCTTCTCTGGCTATGTCATGGGGAAAAAAACAGATCAAGTTTCTGCTAAAATTGAAAAAAACAAAAAAAAAAAAACGTTTTAATAAGTGTATTACTTTGTAAAAGTACAAGCTACTGTCCAATAATAGTCTGATATTTCTGTCATAATTTATTCAATATAAATCAAACTTTTTTTCACTGGAGAGAAGTTGACACATTTATGCTCTCGTATAATGAAACATATTTTTGCGATTAATATTTACACACTAGTATATATCCTGATTCATAAAGATCAAGAGTAACCAAACTTTTCATATGAGGGCCTAAAAACTAAACTTGATTGAGGGTGGTGGGGGCTAAAGTTAAATAAACTAAACTATTACATTAAAGCTGCCATGGTAGTTTCCTAATTTATACATATTTAAAAAAAAAAAATAAATACTTTAATCGTATTATTAATTATATATATTTTTTTACAATTTATAATGAGCTTCTTTCAATAAAAATTATTCATTGAATACACCTGATTTGCTCTGCGAGGATCCTAAATAAAAAAAAAAAAATCTGATTCATGCACAACATTTAAGATTTTTCCTTCCATTTGCTTTTTTGTTTCTCAACAATCAAACAAACAAACAAAAGGTTACAATAAAATTAGAAATGACGAGCTCTGTTGAAGGCCCCAACCTTCTCATCATTCTCCCTCTCTTCTCAAAATGGGATGATGGGCCAAATCAAAAGTTACATGGGCCAAATTTGGCCCGCAGGCCCAAGTTCAGGGTCTCTCTGATATAGATGTACAGCAAATCTTACATTCATCCAAAATGTAAGAAATGTAATAATTATCAAACAATATTGAGCAAATAGCATTTGTATGACTAGATTTAAGGGTTGCACGACATTGGGAAAAAAATACATTGCGATTTTCAAAGTAATTGTACAGCAGTAATTGTAGTAATTATTGTGAACAATTTATTTATATTTGCGCTAATATAAAATTTTATTTGACCTTGTAATAAACAAAAAGGTTACGTTAAAATTGGAAATGACAAGCTCTGATGAAGGCATTGGCCCCAACCTTCTCATCATTTTCCCTCACTTCTCAAGATGGGATGTTGGGCCCACTTTGGCACAGGCCCTAGTTTGGGCCTCTCTGGTAAAGATGTACAGCAATTCTTACATTCATCCAAAATGTAAGAAATTTATTTAAGATTTACAAACAACAGAGAGTAAACTGCATTTTTAAGACTAGATCCTAGGGCTGCAGAATATTGGGGAAAAAACTGACATTGCAATATTTTATTTTCCTGCAATAGATATTGCGATATTGTGCATATCAGCCCGAGTTAGAAACATTATAATTCATAATGCCTGAATGCTTGAACTTGCTAAAAATGCTAACATGGGCCTTAAGAAACCATGCAAATGCTAAAGTTGTTGGTAACATTGTGAAGTCACTGCAAAATGTAAGCATAAATTACTGAGGCTACAGGTCAACTATAACCCTGACCCTACAGTGCAAAGCCTACGCTGTGACTACTGCGAATGCACACATTGCAATATCGATGCTGAAACTATATATTGGGCAGCCCTCTTAGAATCTGAGATCCCATCCACATTTCCTAATCATTGAAATCATAAGGCCCGTAGAATGAGATTATTTAAGTTTTATTGTTTTTACCTCAGCTTTCTGCTTTTCACAGATGATGGCATACTGTCCTATGTGACTGTCCAAGCTCATCACATTACTCCTCAGCTGAAAAACAGAATAAGAAATACAATCCAGGTTCTTTATTTGTGGTAAACTCATGGATGAGTGTGCATGTGTGTGTGGGACTTACAGTGGATTTGATCTCCTTGGCGCGGTTGGCATATTTGAGAGTGTTGTGTGTATCTTCATATGAAAGTGAGGATGGACTGACATTTGCAATCATTACAGTTCGGCAGTTTCCACCCAGAGAGTCTTTGAGAAGTCGCGTCAGCTTGCTATCTCTGTAAGGAATGTGCGTCTTCTTACACTGAGAAAATAAAAACAACAACAAACTAAAGCCAAGAACATCAGTAAAAGATGTCAACAACATATAAGACACAATGACTCAAACCCAAAATGCATAGAGTCTTCAAAAACTAGGCTGAGATGACACAATTAGGCTTAAAATTTCATTTTAGGCCATTTCTGAGATGAGTTCACAATGGATCCTTGTCTATGGCTCACCCTACTATGTTACTGACCAATCTGAGGCAAGCTTTTTTCTTATTTTTTTCAGTTGGTCTACAGAGAATCTGTGTCTAGATAAACATTTTTAAAAGCATTTTGAAGGAAATTAATTACTATTCATGTCACATTTATTGGTTAATCATCTGAAATTCTGATATTCACTCACCGGCCACTTTATTAGCTACAACTTCTGAAAGAAATGTTTGTGCAAATTTTGAATCCTCCAATCACATGGCAGCAACTCAACACATTTAGGCATGTAGACATGGTCAAGACAATCTGCTGCAGTTCTGAGCCTTAGAATGGGGAAGAAAGGTGATTTAAATGACTTTGAAAGTGGCATGGTTGTTAGTGTCAGACAGGCTGGTCTGAGCATTTCAGAAACTGCTGATCTACTGGAATTTTCACGCACAACCATCTCTAGGGTTTGCAGAGAATGGTCAGAAAAAGAGCAAATATCCAGTGAGTGGCAGTTCTGTGCGCACAAATGGCTTGTTGATGCCAGAGGTCAGTGGAGAATGGCCAGACTGGTTTGAGCTGATAGAAAGGCAACAGTAATTAAAATCACCACCTGTTACAATGCAGAAGTGCATCTCTTAATGCACAACGAGTCCAACCTTGAGACGGATGGGCTATAGCAGCAGAAGACCACACCGGGTGCCACTCCTGTCAGCTAAAAACAGGAAACTTTAGGTCCATTTGTACCAATTGAGCATTGTGTCAATGCCACATCCTACCCAAGTATTGTTGCTGACCATGTCCATCTCTTTATGACCACAGTGTACCCATCTTTTGATGGCTACTTCCAGCACAATAACATGCCATCTCATAAAGAGCAAATTATCTCCACAGTCACTAGATTTTAATCCCATAGAGGACCTTTTAAAATTGATTTAACCTTGTAATAAATACTTCTATCAAAATGTTTGTATACATCACGCACGCACGCACACACACACACACACACACACACACACACACGCGTATGTTCACTAAAATGGCCAATTCATTCTAAATTCACAGATTTTAGTCTCAACGCCTGTTATATCATGAAGCTAAATCTTCACTTCAATTGCAAACAATATTTTTTTTAAAGAGAGAGTCGGCAACAAATAATGATGCCGACCTTCACTAACACATCCTAACAATAATTTCAATTTGTCTCATCTCAGCAGCTTCATGTTCAAATGGCCAGTTGGTACTCTGGCTTTCATCATGCTGGCCTGTCTGACCCGCAAAAGAAAGCATTCGCAAACTGATGGTCTAATTAATCTCAGCATCCAACGACTGATGCACACTCCATATCCCAAACATCAAAGCCAAGTTTCCACTTAGCTGATGTGAAACCTCCAACATACATGGAGAATGACATGCACACAATGTGCCAAAACAAACACGAAGAAAACACAAAAGTCAGGGGAGGCAAATGTGGAAACTTTGTATATCTGATCTCATCCAGCTGATGTCTCAAACTATAGCCCACATCTGGACTGTGTATGTTTTCATTTTTTCTATTAGCTTTGATTCAAATGGTGGCCTGCTGGGAACTTCACACAACTGCACCCTCTTGCAAAGAGGTGAAAAAGTCTGTGGCCCACTTTTCACTGATTTTCTGGTCAGAACGATTGCACCAAACAGAAAAACGACATCTTAAGTGACAAACAGCGTTGGGTAAGTTAGGTAGTTACTAATTCATGATTAGAATTACAAAAATAGTATTTAAATTACTATTTAACTGTCTAAAAAGATATTTAATTACTCAATAAGTGATTTAATTACTTAAAACCTCGTAAAATTGCAATAAATCTCAATCCATAGACAAAAGAAATAAAACTTTTTATTCTTACATGTTTGGGTCAAACAGGGCATGTTCACTTTATTCAATCTAATTTATTACTTAAGAAATTTTAAACATTAAACATAATTTTGCAGGTGCAAATGCAGTCTTGTCGCGTTAATGATGAATGTGGAGAGCGCATGCTTGGAATGGAGGTCTTTGTTGATAGATATTGGTTTGTTAATAATTATTGGTGATTGTGCCTCCAGCCCTCATGCCTTCGTCATTAAATGAGGAATTTCATTTTCATTAAATTAAAATAAGTTTCTTAGATTTTAGTATCTGTATTGTTAGCTTTTAAGATATCTATAGGTTAACTGTGCTCCAAAACAGTTACAAAATTCATGTTTAGGAGATATAAAACCGATATAAACATGTAAAGCTTGCAGTGTCACTTCAACCGAATTGGATCAAAAGTTTTATTTACATCATCTCATACTACAGTTTCTCTTTAAATCATAACCATCAAATGCCCTTAAGTATGACATACCCCGTCCCCCTTAAAGACGCTTCTCATTTGCTTTTCATTTGATGCGCTTCAGCTCAACCACACTCACTGGCAGAGCAGTGATGAAACAATGTTATTGGCTGTTTTTAAAAAGGGGAGTAACTACAATTTGCCCGACCTTCTCTCAGTGTTTCAGTTGAAATTATTATCAAACATCAAATAAAAATGCATATTTTAAAGCACTTTATGAGACCTTTAAAGCGACAGGACTACAATTGGACTACATTCACCAATAATTGTTTGATTAGGCTGTGGATTGTTTATATTCATTTGCTTTTAATCGCAAAACATTATCAACATCGACTGCCCTTATAAGAATCACGAAGGACCTAAGATACAGTTAAAAAAAAATCTTCTTTCATTTTTTACCAAAAAGAGAAAGTCATCTACATCAAGGATGACCTGTGGGTGATTAAATTAACAGGAAATCTTCATTTTGGGATGAACACTCTCTAACCATGTTTTATTAAAAAAAAAAAAAAAAAAACACCAAAAAAGTACTTTGCAACTTATCTGACTTAGGCATGGGACGATAACCGGTTTCAAGGTTTACCTTTGTTTAGAAAAGTCAAGGTTATAAAGCCGCCAAAGTTTTCTGTTATACTGTTCCTAAGGTATATGAAAGGTTATTTTTGATACATGGTTTTTATAACAATTTTATTTACTTTTTAGGGCAACAGTATCCCCAGAAGAAAAGAAACCTTCACATCGAAAGCTACTGGTCCAAAATATTTTAAATGTTTCTTAAAATAAAATATATTATGTTCAATGTGGGAAAAGGTTGTTTTTTAACCAGATATTTAAGAAGAACTAATTTTGGAGCAGCAATCACAATTCTGTGATAATTTTATCCAAGGTTATCATACCGTCAGAATCTTACACTGGCCCATGCCTAATCTGAATAATAATTCATTTTTCTTAAGCATGTGCAATTGTCTTTGGTTAAAAATATAATTATTTTATAGAATATATTTGTATACAATAACACATTTACTCCACTTTACTTCTTGATTTACTTTTATTGAATCTGAATTGAGTTACTCATAACTAGGGATGTAACAGTATTGTAAATACCGTCATACCGTCATACCGCAATAGTAATTTTTTTTCAACATTACCATGGGCGCATGACTCAATAAAACTATATTTCTGAGAAAAGTTTGCTTAGGCAAATGAAGCGAACGGGAGGTAGCGGAAACTACAATTCCCATTAGCCTAGGCGTGGCCATCATCCTTTGCGGTCTGTTGTTACTAAAGATCCAGTAATGCGGAAATGCAGTGTGTTGCTAGTAGCAGGTAAGAAAAAGAGCTGGAAATGATTGAACCTAAAGCGAGTTTTAAATCGGATGTGTGGAAGCATTTTGGTTTCTTTCTAAAAAGATACGAAAAATATAAGTCGGGGAATAAGACTAAAAACAGTCATCGGGACTGCAGAACACGGCACACTTGTTAGATTGATGCAGACATTGACTTGTACCGCAAAGAGACCTCTATCTCATTCATGGCTTGTCCTCTCAAGTGGTGGAAAGACAATGCACAACGTTACCCACTGCTGTCAACCTTGGCTTAATCATATCTCTCTGTCCCAGACACCTCAGTCCCAAATTAGAGGGTTTTTTTCTGTTGCAGGGGACATGCCCAGAGATCCCAGCTTTTACCAGATTATAGTTATATGATAATTTTCCTTAAAAAACCCATCTCTATCTAAGTGAGTGAGTGATTAAATGTTGAATGTGATGAGTTTAACAATACTAAATTGAAACTTTATTTTTTTTTATATGGTTTAATAGTTTTTTGTTATTAAAATTGAAAAATTGAAGTTCCTGTTTCGAAACTTACAGATAGATGGCTAATTAGTATGTCATTAATATGTTCAGTGCTAAGGTAAATAAACAATTTTGGCACTTTTTTCGAGTCTTTTCATTAATTTTGTTTTTCTTGTATATTATTCAATAAATACCGTACTGTGCCATTCATACCGAGGTATTCTGATACCGTTAAATCCCTACTCATAACTGTTGTATTTATGTACAGTATTTAAGGCAAACACATTACAAGTAACTGTAAAAAAATTAGCTAAAAATTAAGTAATACCTGTTCAGCAAAAAAGTAATTTAATACACCAACTAGTTGCTTTGATACTAATTACACCTAACACTGGTGGCAAAACACCAGCTTATGCAACCTAAAAACATACAAGCAGCGCCATCATGATTGCAAGTTTGTGAAAAATCACAATTGAGAAGGCAGCATGTTCCCTCTGTTGGCACGATTGTGTTAGCAGTGTGTGTGTGTGTGTGAGAGAGAGCGCGCGAGTGGCCTGTTTCGGGCCCTCCCAGGAGAACGTGGGTAAGGAGAGCCGTCTGCGTGACAGGTTAATTTATGCGGATGGCATGAAAACAATACCTATGAAGCTGCACTGCGGAGGGGCCCAGAGACAGGGACAAACCTCCTC